AATTGATATGCACAATTTATATTTGACAAAAGTGTAAGAACAATTCAATGGAAGAACAAATGGAGCTGAGGTTGTAAATATCCATAGGCCAAAACCAAATGAACCTTAACCTAATTTTTACACCTTCTGTAAGCATTAACTAAAAACAAGTCATGGACTTAAATGTAAAATGTAAAGTTGCAAGACTTTTATTTAATAAAAAAGAAACAGAAGGACTTGCAGTAGAGTTCAATGAAGGAGCGCTTTTCCTAGTATGCACTAGACTCAGGGCTCAAACCTCAGCATCCCAAAAACATAATTGGAGAAAAAGTAAAAGAGAAATTATTTGAGGTCTAGGTCTGGGTAAAGAAAACTTGATATCAAAAGCACAATCTGTAAAAGAAAAATTAATAAATTGTCTTCAAAGTTAAAACATTTGTGTGTCTGGGAGTGCAGTTCAGTGGGAGAGCACTTGCCTAGCACACACAGGCTCTGGGCTCAGTCCTCAGCAACAAGTTTAAAAAAAATAAAACAGGAACAAACAGAAAGAGCTAGGAGTGGGTGCGCACCAATGTTCTATGCTAGCACCAGGGAGGCTGAAACAGTAGAATTGCAAGTTTTAGGCCATCCTGAGCTAAATAGTGAGAACTTGCCTCAAAAAAATTAAACTTTTGTTCTGCAAAAATTCCTATTAAAGGACTGAAAGTCCAAACTATAGATCAGGAGAAAAGATTTTCTAATTCGATAGATAGATAGATAGATAGATAGATAGATAGATAGATAGATAGATAATAGATAGTAGATAGAAAAGTAGATATGTAGACACAGATTAATACATAGAAAGATTGTATAAGGAACTCTCAACATAAGTAAAATTATGAAATGGTCAAAGACATGAAGAAACATTTTCTGAAGACTGTACAAAAGAAAAAATGTACATTAAAAGATGTTCAGCATTATTACCAATTTTATAGAGCTTCAAATTTAAACCACAATGAAATGTCACTATACATATTAGAATGGCTAAAACAAGAGTGACAAAATCAGACACTGGAGAAAATACAGAAAAAATGGGACAAATGGATGCATTGCTGGTGTAAATATAAAATGATATAATCACTCTACATAACTGTTTAATACTTTAAGAAAACAAAAACTAAAATGTTACTCCTGTGTGACCCAACAATTACGTCTTGCATATTTATTCCAGGGGTGAAAGGAGAATATTTCACACAAAAATCTATATATAAATGTTTATAGCAGCAATATTTACAAAACTTCCATACTCCCAAAATCAAATGATACAAATGTTCATCCACAGATTAGCAAAATGTGCCGATCAATGCCACAAGAAACTACTAGCAATGAGAAGAAAACTCAATTAATGTACACACTTCCCTGGAGGAATCTCTGGAAACTTATTCTGAGTGAAAATTCCAATCCTAAAATGTTGTGTATGATTGTATTTATCTAACATAAAATAACCAAATTATTATGGAGAACAGATTATTGCAGAAGGAAAGGTTGAGTGAGTAAGGTGGAAGTGAAGGTGTAACAAGACAGTGTGAAAATAAAAGTGTAACCTCAGCAATTCTTTCAGAGAATGACATCTCTACCTTGTCTATGTCAGTGCAAATATCCTGGTGTTGTTATTGTGCTGTAGTTTTGCAAGATTTTGTCATTTGCAAGATTTTGTCATGAGCTAAAAATAGATAAATGTAACAGGATCTTTCTATGCTGTTACTTACAAGTACACACAAATATACATTATCTAAGAATGAAGTTATTAAAGATTGATATGCCAGCTTAAAAGATAAAAGTGTAGATCAAGAAATTATGTATCCCACCTAAGCAAAAAAAGGGGACTAGATAAAACAAAATAAAAAAAATCAGGTAATCAGATATATTGTAAGAACTTTTGTAAATGTCACAATGTAGCTCCAAGAGCAAGAACAACAATAATAATAAAACTACCATCAGAAATTACTATCTGCCTATTCAGGTTGGCAAAGATGTGAGGGAACTTTAATCCCCAGACTGTTCCTTCCTTTTGGGAACATAAGTTAGTGCACTCAGGAGGTAGAAGCAGAGGATCATTTGTTTAAGGGCAGCGTGAGTTACATAGCAAGTTCCAGGCCAGTCATGGATACACGGGACACATTGTCTCAACAACAGTAACAACAAAATGAAACAAATAAGAAAAATGAAGCGACTACTTCGAAGACAATTTAAATAGTTCCTTAAAATTTTAAGCCCATACTTGTCATATTGTCCTGATGTGCCAAGTATTTACTAAGGAGACATGGAAATGTGTGTTCATACCACATATACAGATGCTCATAGTAGCTTAACTTTCAATAATCCAAAATAGAAGACAATCTAAATGTCAGTCAATGGGTGAATGGATTTTAAAAATATAATATATTTATACATGAAATATGCTCAGAAATAAAAATGAATGAACTATTATTACATACAACAACATAGATGAATCTCAAAATTGCTATCATGAGTGAAAAAGCTATATGAAAAGTAGACATGCTGTGTAATTCCATTTATATAAAATCCTTTAAATACAAGCTAATGTATAACAGAATGCAAACCTATAGTTTTCTGAGGGGGAAGGGACAAGGGGGTGGATTGTACAGATGAGAAGGAATCTTTTGGAGGTAATGAACACATTTCTTATCTTGATTGTGGATGTGGTACATAACTGCATACACGTGTCACAACTTACAAATTGTATACTTGATATATGAGAAATATGTCCATTTTCAGTTTCATTTTGTTGCCATGACAAAATGCCAGGGAAAATCATGTTAAAAGAGGAAAGATTTATTTTATCTCATGCGTCAGAGATTTCAGTCACTGCCAGGCTGGTCAGATTGTTATTAAGCTATGGTGTCACAGAACATCATGGCAGGAAACTCACTGGGGCAAACCTGCTTACTTCTTGGAGGCCAATGAGAGGAAAGAGAGAGAGAGAGACACACACCGTGCCTTCAGGGGCCCACTCCCATGGAACAACTCCCTCCATCCAGGCCCCGCCTCCTCATCTCCCATTCTGTATGAACTCATCAGTAGATTAATTCAATGATGAGGTTAATGCCCAAGTGATCCAGTCACCACTACCATCTAGGGACAAAGCTTTGAACACATGAGTCTTTTGTGGGTACACGTCCTAGCCAAACCACAATAACATTGAATGTAATTCAATAAAATTGTCACACATGCATACCTGTTCCTATCTTAAACTAAAGCAAAAATGATTATTCAGTTAAGGAATTATAAAGGAAAACTTTCATTGATAATTCTGCTGGCCTTGAGAAAATATTTTATCCAGTTTAGAAAAGGCGATTCTTTAGCCCAGAATATTGTAAATTTGTTTCACCAGTTTAAAACTATGATAGACTGGTATCTGTGAGTATATGGTTCCAGGGAACTGCTACTGAAGACGTACCTTGAATGCTTAGCACTCAGAGTTCAGTACTGTACTGCAGATGCATAAATCATTTTTCCCACAATGCCGCCCAACTCCCTCTAAAAAAAAGTCACCTTTCAACAAATCTAAAATGTTTACTTAATCACTTCAATCAAGCACAATACATGTGTTTGGCTTGGGAGAGCTACCATAACTTTTACCTTGCTTTTAGGGCATCATGTGCTTTTTGGGAGTCATATTTTAACAAAATATAGGGCAGGCAGGCATGAAAACACAACAAATCACATGATGATTTCAACACAACTGACAATAACTCAGGGCTGGCTAAGAGCTTGTCTGCATCAACTAAACTGTGCAATGCGTGTGCAGGAATATAAAATATTTGTTGAAATTTCTATTATTTTTTATTATTTACTTTGACCACACTTAGTCAACTACATGTAATAAATATGTGAAAAAGGCAGGCTTATTGTAGTTGTGAAGATGACTGCCTAGCTCCCTCTTGTAAGCATGTGTTAGAAGAATTGACTTTTCATAGGTTTCCTGGCCCCTTGCTTATGTTACACTAATATGTTCAGAGCCATCTCAGTCCCACTCACAAAGGATTGTAGTAGAAAATCTTTCATCCTATATTAAGTAAAATTGGTAACTAATGGGAGGATAAGGAAGATTTTGATGTTTTTAGCTGCCTGAGAATATTTAACATTTCTTGAAAAATGCGTAATTGTGTTTCAGATGCCTCAAATCACCTTTCAGATATTAAGAACAGCATTTGAAGTCTCTATTAGCTGTCCTTTCTCAACATAGAATCCTTTCAATAAAATGATATTATGCAATAGGAATAATAAAATACTGAGTAAATGTTTTTCAGTATGAAGTGTAACAGAAATGGTGAACTTTAAGTGGCAATTTTAAAACATGACCTCTACTGGGCATATGGCTCAAGTAGTAGAGTGCCTGCCTAGCAAATGCAAGGCTGTGAGTTCAAACCCCAATACTGCAAAGAAAAAAAAATGGCACCCAAATTCTCCCAAATTCTTAGGTATTCATCCATTAAACAAAATAGAGAAATGAGACAAAAGTTTACACCTCCTTATAAATAACTACTGTAATTTGCTGAAAACTGTGGCCATACTTGTTTCATCTAATACTTGTTTCATACTTGTTCACTAATATCCAGGTAGGTTGAGTCAGGCTATCTCAGAGGCCTGAATGCTTCTATTTCATTTCTATTCCTGTTCTTACTGTCCATACCTATTCTGCATTTTTTACTTTCGTTTAAATTTGTTTCTTCTAATTATATTTAGTGAGTTAGTGGAGCAAAATATTTACTTTGTAAAGTGTGGTTTGCTTCTTTATAGAATTCATATAGACAAGTAGAATTTGTTCAGTCTTTTGAACACTGTGGTAGGAACATAGTGACTAGCACTCAGCATATGAAAGTTATGACACTCGGGTAGGTCACTAACGTTTTTTGACAGATTTCTTTTAGGCAGACTTCTTTAAAGCTGTTTAACTTTTCTTAGGAAGATTGTAAGTTTTGACACATGTTCTGTGTTGTTTTTCCTTGATGTCGAAGCTGCTGAAGGGATGGTGTGTAACCATCTGTGTTCAGGAGATGGCTGTTGGGGACCTGGCCCAGACCAGTGCCTGTCGTGCCGCCGCTTCAGCAGGGGAAGGGTCTGCATCGAGTCGTGTAACCTCTATGATGGGTAAGGTGTTCTACATTGTCACCTTTATCATGTAAGCTGTTAACTACTGATAACATCAAGATTTGAAAAGTTTCAAAAAATGGCAAAAATTCAGAATGTGTGCCAATCAAGATTTGTCAGGCAAGCTCTTATGGCAATAAAGGAGACACTTGAATTGTTTACATGGGAAGTAATTTTATTTGAAATAACAACTCCAAATACATATAGATCATTCTTAATAAATTATAGAAATTTATCCTTGATCAAAATTCTTAAAAGTTCAATTTTTCTTATGAGAGAAACTGTTGTGAAAAAAAAAAAGGTCTCAGTGATCTACTGGGGTTTTCCTCCAGGACATTCCTATGACTTTTGTTCAGAATTCCACTCAGGTCATATGCCTATTTGTGCTTTAGAAAGAGTCCATGTTTCTAGGTCTTTGACAACTGCTTAATCCTATAGGAAAACTACTTCTGCAGTTCTAGTTGAAGAGGTTTTTTGAAAGCATTCTGTCACTTTCTAGATAACGTGAAGAATATTTTTAATGAAATTGTACTATAGTCACATTGCCAGTAATAAAACCTAGTATATACCTCATTGTGTGGCATTTTATGTACTCATAAAGTCACTTTATAATAACATACTACGATATGTATCATAGTTGTCCTTCATCAGTGTGATAATGTATTTTTAGGGCTGGCCCCAAATCAACTTTTCTCATATTGCTCAAATGAAAGTATTTTCAACAATTTTGGCAAGTGTAGTCTCAGAGTCCGTCATTTCACTTCTTTCTGTGCCTCATGAACTAACAACTAATTTCACGAGTCCCAGTCGCATTGTAGTTTTGCATTTTCCATTAAAAGGATACAAATCTATCACAATGCTATTAATGAATCTCTTCTTTGAAAGATGACCGAAACAAATTCTGATCGTGAGAATTAGAAGGAAAGTTTAAAATCAAATGTTTAAATGAAAAAAAGATTTTAAATAAGAATTTAATCATTTTCCAGGAAAATCTCAGATTGTGATTTTGTAATGTACAGTCAGATTATAAATTTGATAATGAATAGGACTTGTCTCAGTGAATTGAATTCATGCATGTTCACATTCTTGTAAAAGGATATTTTGTAAATATAAATTATCTCAATTCTAAATATACTTATTTGTGTGTATAGTAACTGATGCCAGTAAAATGAATCATTACAGACTTTATTTCTATTAAACAAATGTTAAAAGTTTAATAAATGTAATATGTGCAATTCTAAGAAAGTAGTGGATTCTAGAATTCATTTCTTTACATCATCATATAAAGAATATTTATATAATTAAGTATTTATTAAAATCACAACACTGCAGAATAAGCAAGTCAGAACTCATAGTCAGGGCATCTGATTTTCTTCCTGCTTCTTTTCCAGAATGTCATTGTTTTTCTAAAGTATTTCACTTTTAAGCTTGTCATAAATACAACATTCATAAGTGCGGATATATATACCATTCTGGATCACATTTATGCAGAGCAGTGAATGCAAACCAAAGGAATAATGCATTTTTCTAAATAAACACTGTTTACCACATTGATTTTCAATATATTAACATTCTATATTTGCCTCATTAAATAAATTCTGTTAAAAATTTGTACATAAATATGTATATGACCATTTATGTATATATGAATATGTATATATAGAGAGAGAGACAGAGACAGAGAGCATGATTGAAACAGTAAGTCTGTCTAAGGAGATCAGGGAGAGGTGGGAGAGGAAAAGAGAATGATAAAAAGTGAATATTGAAGTACATTGTATCTGCATATTAAGATAGTATAGCAAAATGCACTGAGAGCTATTGAATAATAGGGAGCAAAGAATAAACAGGGGTTAATCTGATTAAAGTACAGTGCATGCATGTGTGAAATACCAAGTCAAAATCCCCTTGAACAATCAATATGCACTTTAAAATGTGAAGGACAGGATGGTAAAATAGATCCTGTCTGAGGGTGAGTTCCAGTGCTGGGGGATAAGTGAAGAGAGCAAAGGAGGGCAAATATAGTCAGTGTACTTTTTATTTGTGCGTGAAAATAGGACAATTAAACCTGTTGAAATTGTTCTAAGTAGTGGGTAGGAGGGTGAGTGCAAATAATGGAGGGAATAAATCTAACTAGGATACAATGTAAGCAAATATGTAATGGTTACAATGAAACCCCCCTGTACAATCCATTTATGCTAATAAAAATTGGTATTTTACAAAGCAGTAGTAATGGTTCACTAGTAAATCATAAGAGTACAACCAGTTTGAAAGATAATAAGCAAAAGTTTGTACAAGTTTGATTCAATTCTTGCCTGCCCAGTAATCAACTCCTACCTCCCGTCTTGTGAATTGGCCACTTCAGTATGGCCCTTGAAGAAGAATGAATTCAAATTCTAATTTTATTAATTGTTAGTTGGAAAATTCAACCTTTGAAAAAAACCCTAATCATACTGAACTTGGTTTTCTTTTCTTTTTCTTCTTCTTGCTTTTCTTTTTTTTTTATTTGCTTTTTTTTTTTAAATGGACCTTGTTATGTTACCCAGGCTGGCCTTGAACTCAGTGGTCTTCCTGCCTCAGTATCCCAATTATGTGGGACTACAGGTGCATACCACTGCATCTGACTAAACTTGGTTTTCTCATAGGAAAAATAGGAATACTGAGGGTGCCAACTTTATAGGATATTGTGATTATCAAGTAATAAAATGCATAATAAGGTCTTGTTAAAATTCTTGCCCTGAATATTATTATAATTATTTCCTTTTTTGTCTTTTGATCTGAGCTAAGTGTTTGAGTAACACGGTCATCTTAAAAATGGCTGAAAGTAAACAAATACGCATTTACTAAAAATCAGGAAAATCCATATACATAAATATTATAATATAATATGATATGACATGATACATGATATAATAATATATACACACACACATATATATATATATAAAAGTTTGGATATTAGCAAAGGAAATAATCCTTAAAAGAGGACTTTTTGAAGGGAAAAAGGAAGGTCAGTCAATTTGTGACTGATTAGCTTTCAAATTTAGATCCTATAGTCTCTGTCTTTCTGCAACATCTAACTATAATGCCTCATCAATCAAGATGAAAGAAAAAAAAATTGCAACAGAAACTTAAAACTTTTCCTGCCTGGAAACTCTTTTTTTAAACCCTGAGATCAACATAGAAACATCAAAGTGACTGCCAGTACAAGATCTTTGTGGTCACTTGTACATTTATGAATCACAATCTCTGAATGAAATAGTATTTTCCCCTTTTGTAGAGGATATTTAGGGAACTGAAGATTAGAGAAGCTGAAGTATCCTAAGGCCTAGAACAATGAATATTGCTGCTGGAATTTAATTTTTGGAAGGCTGAATGTCACAGCACTCATTCTTGAGTCCAGGATTTGTTAAGCTAACACATGTCACAGCAAAAACAAGTGACATGAAGAGTAGTACACAAAGCACATGTTCAAATTATTATAATTTGTTAGGTCAGATTGAAGCAGAAGGGGGACTCTGGCAAAGTCACAGTCAAGTCACTTAGAGGACAGGGAGAAGAAAGAGCAATCATGGAGACAATGACAATAAAGACCCAATAAATAATAGAGACTGCAAGGAAGATCTTTGATCAAAGCAGGGAGGCAGAACAGTACAATGGTAGTCGATGAAAGAAAAGACAAGAGATCATCCCTGTGATTTTTTATGATAGGATTTTACTCCTCTACTATATGTGTGGAGAAGTGGGTGTTAGAGTAAAGACTAGGAAAAGCATGGCCTGTGTTTTACTAGCATAAAAATTAGATTTTCATTTGTTACCACACCTTTTGATGACCGGAGAAACTCACCAACAACCAGTAATTAGCTGAAGATCCTAGAAATTGCTGTAACTTTCATAAAATTTCATTACATAAGCATGGTTTTGGTTCTTTTTACACATTAACTACCCCTCTCAAGTAATTTTGACCATTATAGTTTGGGGGTCTCCTCTGCTGAGTACTTTATATTGCTCATGTCAGTGAAGCATACAAAAGAAAATTTGTCATTATAATTAAGATGTTGAACAAGAAAATGCATCAATGTTTTATCTGTAACAAACTAATACCTCACTTTAAAATTGCAAAAACCATGTAACTAAATAAGTACATAATTATACATCTACTATTCATTTTGAAAACCAAATTTAATTGTTTTGTCTTAGAATAATGTAGCCTTAATCTAACCAACAGAAAACATAGTTTACCCTTTGGATTTCTGTCACTTATTAAGACTTTATATTTCAAATGAGAAAAAAGTAGTTTTTACTCTGTGGCAAATGTATTTGAATTTATCACCTAATTAATCCATAAGTGCCGTGTTTGTATTGCTAGTGTTTAAGAATGGTAGCTCAGGAGACAAAGGCACAAAATAATAAATAATTAAATTTTATTAATGACTCCTAAATAACATTCTAAGTTATCTTACTCAGTACCTAATCCTCTCATAAATTAGCGAGAATGAAGAGGTTTAAACATTTTGTAGGTAATTGATACTCAATTACTAAAGTAAAAATTTGAAAGCGAGTTTGAATGAAAAAGTTGTGTATTGATAATAGTAATATACAATAACTACAGAAATGTAAAGATGAAGGATGGAATGACCATCTTCCCAGTGAATATCCACTGGAAAGTTTTAGGATGTAGCCATTAAAATATTTTCTTATTTGATACCATGTAGAAATACTTCAAAAGAAAATTCAGACAGAAAAAATAGTTGTCATATTAGATCAATAACCTAAGAAAATAAAATCTACCATAAAAAGATATTTTCTATAATTCTCCAAGGCAGATATTTTAAAAGGAGATAAGAAATCAAAGCGTTTTTTGAAGTTTCACCAAAAATAACTTGAAGAGTCTTGGGATTTGAAGGACAAAGTTGGGGAACATTTATGTAGCTTAGCAACAAGAAAAATACAATAGTTGTTTCAGAGTTTGGAAATTAAAGTTTCAGCCAAAAATAAATTTTTTTATAGAGACAAGCAGACATAACCTTACTCCAAAAGGTACAAATGATTTTGCTGCATCATCAGAAGAGTCGCACTTTTTTTTAAAAGAACTAGACTATCTCTCACAAGAGAGAGGTTTCCAGAATGAGACTACTGTTGAATCCAATGGAGGGCAAGGAGAGCCATCTGGCTGCCATTTATCTTTTCCTCTAATGGAAAACTTACTCCTTAATGTGTAGGGAAATGTTTCTGATGCTCCTGGCATATAGGGAAACAAACTCAAGAATTTACTCTGCCAATAGGACTCTTAGCAGATGTTCCTTCATTTGTTAAGCTGACAGCTTGTTTGCTCACACCTCCTCATGCAGCTGATGTTTTCACAGTGAATTTCGGGAGTTTGAGAATGGCTCCATCTGTGTCGAGTGTGACTCCCAGTGTGAGAAGATGGAAGATGGTCTCCTCACATGCCACGGACCGGTAAGCCTGGAGACATTCTTTGGTATTTTAGCTTACTTAATATCATGTACAAACGTTTGTTATGTCATTGTATTATTGTTTACCCATCCATCAACAGGTATTTGAAGGATGCTTTAAAGGAACATGTTTAATAATCTACCCTTGAAAGGCTTACAGTTTAGTAGTGAAAATATTTGAAAATTCAATGTCATAAATTTTTATTCCCCAGATATATATTTAAGCAGAAATACAAGATATAAATTTGTCTTGGAATATGGCACCTTGTTGCAAAAAAAGATATACCAGTAATTAGCTTGAAGGCTAATTGATATAGTTTAAATATGTATAAGTTGTTATAGGAAGACAAATGAAGGAAAAAGTAATTCTACCTTTGGGTTGTTGGGGACATCAGGAAAGCAGTAGAGAAGTTGTGTTTGAAGGAGAATTTGGAAAGAGGGAACAAATAGAGATATACAAGTGTGTAAGTTGTGATTTTGAAAAATTATAGCACATTTTTATCTATGTAGTCAGTTTGAAAGATGGTAGAAAAAAGGAGGAAGATAAGTTCTCATAAATTAAAATCCAAAGCAGTATGATAAATATTATGTTAAAAAGAAGACTGGAACTATGAGAATCAAAGGAGAAACTCTAGGATCAGGAAAGCCTTCATAGACAAAGTGACACTTGTATAATATGAAGCTATCCTCAGTAAGAAAATGATACCGACTTGTAGACCTCCTCTTGGTTTCTGTCATTTGGGCCTTTTCTTAATAATGATATCGGTATGAGTTTGTCATTCCAAAGTGTCATGTTCACCCTTCTTTAGACAAATTTCCAGTTTATCTATGATTGAGTCAGACCTGAGTAGATAATTTGGGGACCAAACTTTGAGTGTAGCCAAGAGCTCAACATTGCTCCATAAAAATTCATTTAAAATGAAACTTATTTTTCTACCAGAGTGCTTATTCAGCACTTAGCTTAGAAAAAAATATCATTGAGTCCTCCAAACTTCCATTAGGCCTCAATGAGCCATTCTGGAACTTCATCTAAAGAAGGATGTGGAACTCTTGGACAGTTCAAAGGACTACCACAGGAGGACTAAGCTTGGAAAATCAGACTTCTGAGAAAAACAAGTGATGTTATTTGGCCTGAAGAACCAAAGTCTAAAAGGCAATTTAATATGTAATGTTCTCCATGTAAGTATGTAAAGGGCACATGAGCTGTTTTCTTTCTCCACTGTAAACATTACTGGAAAACAAAATCCTTACACACCATGAGAAATGTGAATTCTGAAAGGAGTGTCAGAAACACAGGGAAGCAAATTTCTGTAATAGGTTGTTGAAGCAAATTGGGATATCAATATGAATTCTTTAAAACTAGCATATTTAAATAAATTCTTGACTATATGTCACAAAATAAAAAAAATCTCTGAGAATCTGAAACTTTGCAATAGAACTATTAAAATAACTAAGAACTTGGTCATCTCCCCTGAAAAAGGCTGAGGATCATCATATGCCCTTAGAAACAGTGTGTCTTGGACATAGTCTATGGAAATGCTTTTTTTTAAATTATGAGCCAA